ATGGTAGCGTCAGAAGTTTTTTATAATGTTCTCCAGACATAATTTCGGTCACGGCGGCCAGTCTCAATGGAGACCAGCCATCTGCTGTGGACAATACTGTAGTGCACGAATGTCAGCCACCCTCTCAACAGCGTGCACTATCCCCTTCAATTCCTTCATGTTCTCGACACCACTACTCCAGAAACGACACACCGTCGTCGATAATACGACACTTGTTTCGTCTTCGCACGAGGCATCCCTAGGTGAAGTATACATTGCGGTGGATCACCGTTGAGCAATGGATGTATGAAGGGCTAATGATGATGATGATGAAATAAAAGAAAATATTTGCAACAAAGTATTTAATACAAGTAAAATCACACAATTTCACAACAGCGGGGAGCGACGACGCGTGCTTACAGTCGCATCAGACACATTAACTTTTTTATTTATATATTAACATCACTAATATTTCCTGTAACCACTCCCGATAAGCCTAGTGCTTGTGCGAGGAGTGGTTCACGACGGTAGTTGAATAGCAAATTCGAACTCCCCACTTTTGAGCTCGTGGCTCGCACCCTTCTATTCTATTAGGCTACTGTCGCTTTTATGTTATTATTAATTTATTATTGTCAAAGTATTAAAATAATTCCAATAAATTAAATAGAATGGCAGACAAATCGCAATTAACTAAACATAATGACTGCTATGTTATACACTACTGGACCGGCAGTTCGGAACAAAACCTGTTACAGTAAAGGCCGATTCTCATTTGCCGTTCACAGTTCGTTCTCGGTCCGAGCTCGGTCTGATTTATACTTGACTGTTACCGGATTGTATGAATGCACACATATTTTTTACTTGATAATGTTTTATCACACCGAGAACGAACTGTGAACGGCATTATAATGGGGATCGGTTCTGAACATGCCACGCAGTTGTGTACTTGTTTACGACGGTTACTGTTTCTGGGCTAATACGAAATAAAGTGACATACTTGTCAGAAATAACCTTCAAATCATGTTGACATAATGCGCACATAAATAATGGCAGTGTTTTCTTAGTCACATTTAACAAAATAAGTGTTAGATTGTCGTAAACAAAGTTACAACAATAGAACTAGTCTTCCCGTGCGCTCGCAATCGAGTAAAGAAGTTATGGAGAATTGAGCGTACTTTAATGGGCAATGTATGAGTATCGTAGTGCACGTATAGTAGTATTACGTAGAGAATTTAGATTAAATATTTACTTGTGATACACGGTGAGTCAACAATAACTGTAAATAGGAAGACTGCGTTTATCTCAATCAAACATCACTCGTAACGGCGTCTTAGATCGATTGTCCTTGGCCGCCGTCCTCGGGACGTGACCGAGAGCGGCGCGGCAGCGGGCTGCGAGCAGCGACACATACATACACAGAGTAGAGCGGGCTCGCGCTGTGCCGGCCGGCGGCGCGCCCGCAGTGCGCACGAGCTGTTACCTGCCGTTGCACACTCATTGCCGGTCGCAAACTAACTTCATACTAACTTATAATACTTTACTTGTGTAACGGGAAAAAAATCAAAACAATATAGTATATTTTACGTCGTGTGCATATCGTAATTGCGGAATTTCACCTCTAACTGAAAGTTTTATCAAAAGAAATATATACTAGTGATCCGGCCCGCCTTCGTCTAGGTGGGATTTAAATTTTTTGGGCGTCATTTAAATTTAAAATCATCAAAAAGCATTTATTTCGCTGCTTTGTAAATCCTTCATTATTGTGATATTGTTTATGGTCCATACTTATTTTTTTTTTAAAAACTAAAGAATGTGCAGAGTGCAGAACGCATGTATGCGTTTTTGTTTTAATATACCGAAAAGGGATAGGATTTTACCTTATTTAGTCAGTAATGATATTTTAAATATGTGCAATAGTGGCAAGTTAAAATATGCCCCCTTTCTACACTCTCTGCATCACGCAGTCTCCAAACTATCTGTATGATAAAATTGCCGTTCAAAAAAAAAGTTTGCTTTCAGTCAGAGAAAATAGTCATCGGCTTCCACTACCCAGGATTAGCCTCGCTGGAGCCAGAGGGGGGTTTTAATTTGCCGCTGCTAAAATTTGGAACGATTTACCACCACCAGTCCGGTCTACCCTATTTCCGTCTACCTTCCGACAAAGATGCCCCGCAAGTGGCTTATTCAAAAACACTCCCTGGCTCTGTAGCTTTGATACCCTCTCAAATTAGACAATTTTTTATTTGTATTTAGCAACTATAATTTATTAATTGTTTTATTAAGCTATTGCATAGCTTCTATCGCGGGCCTTGAGCGCGGGGACCGAATCCAGAAATTCCGTAACGAAAAAACCTCACGCTCCCCACTCCGACGGGCACGGAGGTGTGCCGTTGAAAGCCGTGCATCGTCTAACGTCGTTTCAGTTCGGCAGACTTCGGCACTCGACAGAGTTCGGCACGGTGTTTGTGTGCGTGCGACTAGACGTATGCGTGTACACTAGCTGCTCACTCAATGATAAAAATTCCTGAATAACCTACATGTATTGTAAGATATTAAAAATATTTTAAACAATATTAACTTCTCATTTATTCAATAAGAGAAAAAAAATTGCTTTCTTATCGGTCACCACGCTCAAAAAGTGTAACTTGATTTAATATCAAAGACTTAACTGCATAAATAAAATAAATAAATAATTATAATTGCATAAGTTGATAAAAAATGGTATGCAGTAGCTTTACCGCGGCAGTCACCGAGTGTCACACGTATTTTTTTTATTTTTATCTTTACTTCTTTTTTATCGTTGATACGTGTGTTTCATCAATTGCCTAAGACCATGTATGAATTATGCACAAAGGCTGTGGCAGAATAGCAGGAATAATGGTTTTTTTTTGGAAAACATCTCCAAGTATTTCTAGTAAAACATAACCTGGATCGACGCCGGCATTACTCTCTATTACAATCAGTTCAGTAATTCCGAACATTCACCCGGACAGACAGTAATACTTTATAAATGGTTATTCATGGCTTGCAAATAACTCCTTCAGCTCAATAACACACAGTTATTTTATGATTACTGACACACATTTCATTATTGGGTCCCACATATATGCAATAAATGAAACCATATACTTGTTATCGCTTTTGCTGACGATATACAAAAAATGAACGTAATCGGTCCAGTAATTAGGTCAAAAAGTAGAGTTTTAATTTTAAGCAAATTTGAACACTCTATAGAATTGGGTCACTAAGTCAATGATTCAATGAACTTGAATCCTTGAACATTAAAAAGCGACGTTGCCACGCAGTGCAAACTATTGGTATTGCGACATATCGACAGCGGTGTTTTTTGTCGGCGTGCCACCCGCGTGCAACGTTGTCACTCTTCCAAGGGGTCAAGGTACGTTGTCTAAACAGAGTGTTCACTTTTACTGAATTTATTTTAATATTTATTTTGTTTGAAAATTTCACTTTTTTTATTTTACGGGTTTTAATTTAATATTTAATTTTTCTACACTTCTACGGACTAGTATTACTTGTGGTTTCATTTACTGCATATATATATATATATATATATATATATATATATATATATATATATATATATATATATGCTACTAAAGTATTTATCTGTAAATAACACACATTAGGCTTTAGAAAGAGTCAAAAGCAGTCTTTGGAACGAAGTAATAACAATTCGGTGCCAATTTAGAACTAATGTCACTTTCGAAATAATACTAGTTTTTACGGAATTTATCGCGTATATTTTAACTTTTTAAATACCCGACGTTTACGACGACGATAAATTCCGTAAAAACTAGTATTATTTCAATGTGTAGTGTTCGCGTAAATATAAGAAATCATAATGTCACTTTCATTATTAATGACTTCAAAAATTGAATAAAAGTAGTGCGACTGTAAAAAATGTTTAGAAACAATTGACAGGAAACAATACGAAGCTTGTTATCAATAATAATATAAGTGCATAGTCTACAGGCTCGTCAGACCCTTTCTTAGACTCGATACATCATGTTGCCTTTACGATTATGCCACCGCACCATACCATAAAATAATATAATAAAATCACATTTATATAATTACTTTAAAAATTATATAATTTATAAAATTTTAAATCTTTACTATTTCATCATTTTAGTTCAAATTTATTTGACGTTTTCCCAATATTAAGATTTTGCATCATGTACACAGCCTTCAAGAGATTTAATCTAGACATGTGGACTGATCAAACTCTACAAGGTGATTATTTTAAATAACCTTAAATTATATACCTACATACAATTCAAATGGCAGTTAAATGCTTTTATATAACAACTGTAACACACACACATTATGCTAATAATAGTTATAAATAAATAAAATTCGTAAGAGTCAAGACAAAAATGCCAATATGGAAAGTTTTAAAACAGCAGATTATCATTAATTGCTGGGTTAGCCAAGTCGACTTTCTACAACCGTAAATGTTAAGTAATAGAAAAATAAAAATAAATGCGATATTATTATCTTAACGTTGTCATGTGACTGTTGTGTGATCGCAGAACGCCTTCATGGCAAGCCTGCTGCAGTACTATTCGAAGTAATTTCATTTCATTATACAAATACTTATATATAATAAGGCACTTTTAACAACACTATGTATATTCCCTATATATATTCGACACTGGCTAGATGCTAATTCAATTATTCAAATCACGCAAGAAATATTTTTATAACGGTGACAAAGAAGTACACAGTCCAGCTGATGGTAAGTGGAGGCTGTGTCCCATAAACATCTTCATTTATTCTTGATTAGGAATCAAAATGCAGATATGTTGCTGAGGACTGAGATGGAACACCCTGTTGCCAGTTATAACGGTTCGTGGTTCAACAAGCACTCATTGCTTCCACAAATTAAACCTATGGATAATGTAAAACTATTTTGGCTATCATCACCATTTCACATCAGGACTCAATATAAATAAGTACGTAACATGTTGCCAGGGAATATTCTGTCAGTGCTGTCCAGGTTACAGCTCAGCGTGCAACTCCTCTTGGCTGGTCTCGTCCACTTCTTCCGGCTCGTCCATGTCAGGCATCATCTGCTGCTGCGGCAGCCCACCGAACCCGTACGGGTCCGGGCCGTGGATCTGGAACACAGTGTACTTGAGAGAATCTAGTCGAAACTGATTAACTTCGGCTGCAGCAACAACTTACTGACACTATCTTACTGTGTAGTACGTGCTCACCTACAGCAGCTATATTATGGCTGCACACGACTAACGACTACAGAACATGACACAAGAAGACTCGACTGAAGGAAAACAAAATGCTGCTGTACTTTGTATGGCGAGCGCATTCCATCTTAGACCACAGGTGTGTATGGGCACACCATTCTCTTCACATCAGGTACACTGAGTTCTCGTTCGTCACCCTCATCATTATAATCACTACAGCCCTTCACAAGTCCACTGCTGAACATAGGCCTCCCCCAAGGAATGCCACAAAGCACGGTCCTGAGCCACCTGCATGTCTTACCAGGTCGTCTCTCCGTATAGTGGGGAGACGCCCTACACTTCTCTTACCGGTACGAGGCTGCCACGCGAGAAACTTTCTTCCCCATTGGTTGTCGGTACTTCGAGCAACATGGCCGGTACTTTGCCACTTCGGCTCTCACTAATCCGTCAGGCTATGTCGGTCACTCTGGTTCTACTGTGACTACTTCTAATCATTTTTTAATCTATCATACAGATAAATGCTGAGCACAGTCGTGTCCACAGCTCACTGAGCGATGCTGAACTACCTCAAACAGCCAGCAGTGGACGACTACGCCTCAGATCCTGACAACAAATCTCATCAGTTTCAAAATAATCTGACAATAAATAAAGAAGTCGTTTATTATGAGCAACACAACATTCACTCACCTTCACGTACTCCGCTTCCATGTCCGCAGTCCAGGTGGTGTCCTCCTCGGTGGGCAGCATCCACTCCTCGCAGTACTTGGTGTGGTTGAAGCAGATCTGAAATGCACATGCGCACACAATTAATTATGAGACAATATGAATATTTATGGAAAAATTATTCCGTGATCTCATTTATTATTATATTTTTGACTTTAGTTCATTTTAACTCTACGGTCCATTTCATGCTCCCCTTGACTCTGCCAATAAATTCATGGAGCTTGCACATTGGCTCGAATTATCGATAAAAATTACATGCGTAGAAGTACGTAAATGAATTTTTCTCATCAGTACAAAAAATCCACTGCTGCACATAGGCTTATAAAGAGCATCTACCATCGTAAGCAGGATTTGGTCAATTGCAGTGACAGATATGTTGCGCTTTTGACACTGTTGCAGGTCACGCAAGCAATACGACTTGCCAGGCGTGGCGTTGGCGTCTTAGCGAATAGCGTTATGATATGTCGGCTATCATTCGGTTTGGAGTGAATGTGTTTGGCAGCACTTTTAAGTGTAATTATGGCAAAGATGGCTGACAGAAGTTCCCTTGCCTTTGAATGAAATCAGAATGCACGTGTTCCCGAAGGAAGTCGTACTAATTTCTCACCAATTCTGACGATGTGCTCTGCATTTATTTATTTAACACACTTACAATACACATATATGACAACAGTGGCGAAGCTTCCATTAAAGCCGAAAAGCCGGGCTTGCCTTATTAAACCTGAATCAATCAATAATATCAACTAATAGAATAACTCGTAAAATGTTTCAAGCTATTTCAAATTTCCCGCGCACTCCACTGTTCGACACATGTCGACCGATGACCCCGTATTGCCTTAGCGATACTGCTGCTGTCATAAAAAATGAGTTTTAATAGAGCTAATAGTTGTCTCCCTCGCTCGCGTGGGCTTTTTACGGGGCTTTCGAGAAGACGATCGCTCTCTTTCTAACCTATGGCAAAATATTCTATAATGAAATATAACTACGATTGCATATATAGCAATTAGTATAGAGATTTAAAGCCAGGCTTTTGAGCATAAATTTGTTAAAAGCGGAAGCGCGCGGGCAATACGTTTGCAAGTTCATTTCACGTTTCAATGTTTATTTACTCTGTGTGCTTATCTTGGACGTAATTAAATCTTTCCATAAGAAAGCGAGACGATTCCACTTATCTTATCTTATCTCTTATCCATTAGAATATAAATATTTTTTTTTAATTGTGTACATAGTTTGTTTGAACTTTGTTCGTGTTTTACTTTTGTAAGTGAGATATATTCCGGAGAGGAAACCTGTCTCGGTTAGAAAAAGCAAGGCTGGCTCGGCTATCTCCAGATGATAGTGGACGGCGTTAAAATTTGAATAAGTTTTGAAAAAGTCTTCTGTCTCCAAATTATGTTGTACAAAATAAGGTTGACAGCTATTCTATTGTGTATTATAGTATTCTATGGGGTATTCGGCCACGGGCACCACGGACCGGCCGTTCGGGCCGGACTATCCATGCGACAGCAAAAGTTTCCGCGTGGCTCTACCTCTGTTGAAACTACCGACATAGCTCAACGGATCAGTAAGCAGAAGTGACAATGGGCCGGCCATATAGCTTGACGAGCCGACAGCTTACGGGGAGTAAAGGTTCTGGAGTAGAAGCTTCGTTCTATTAATAATGTCTCCAGACCGAATTTCGGTCACTTCAAGTAGTTTCAACGCAGACTAACTTGCCCGGGCTGCTACTGACAATTATTTGTCAGAAAACACCAACAACTGATTTTGTTCCGAGCCAGGATTGGAACGCAGTACCTCATGACCGCGTCACCGACCATTAGACCAACGAGGCAGTCAAGTGCTATAAGCAAAGTGTAAGGCGGCCTCTCACTAGATGCATAGACTTGACAATGGCAAGTTTCTCCACACACGCTGTTAAGTGTACCAAGTGACAATCATTTTGATATCAACAATGTTAGCAAATATGACTAGTGGTCAGACATACGGCAAGTCGATGGATGCAGGTGGTTTAGAACCGTGCTTGTTGCAGACCTCTATGTATACTACTTCACGAACAATTCAGCACAAGAACAGTATCACAGATGTGGATCCGGGCAGATATAGCTGGCACAGTAAATATGCCACGCTGTTCATGTTCATTTGCCACAGTTACTGATTTAGGGCAAATACGAAATAAAGTAAAATTTTTGTCTGAAACAAACTTGATCTCGTTGACAAAGTGTGTCACATAAATAAAGACAGAGTTTTCTTAGTCACATTTAACAAAATCAGTGTTAAGATTATCGAAAACAAAGTTCGCGGTTTACAAAACAAAGAACTCGTCTTCTCGCCGCTCGCAGTCGACGAAAGGAGTAACTGAGAATCGACCATAACAAAGTGCGTAATGTTTTAAATTCGCAGAGTCCGCATAGTATTACACGTAGAAGTCTTTGGTTTTGTGGCGTTCCTTGGGGGAGGTGTATGAATGATAAAATAATGAAATGAGCTCCTGGCAGTGCAGTGTGGGGAGATGATGATTGCGGGGAGTCTCACCGCGCGCTCAGCGTCCGGCATGACGTCATCGTGCGGCCGCGTCTTGTACAGCTGCGTGATCTCGTCCTCGTTGTCCTCGAACATGCGCTCGCACTGCGCACACAAACGTCTTTACTTACTTTACACACCATTATAAATAAAACTCATTCAAAGTCAATCTTATGTTGATTTTACCACTGGTTCGGAAAATACTTCTGTCCTGGGAAGAACCAGCAATAAACCCGGTAGGACATTTTGTTTTTGAAAAAAGAGCAGTTGAAACTGTTTAAGATGTTAGATAATAATTACCAACACAAAACGTAGTAGATACAGCTTAGTAGCGATCAGCCCATTCCATTTTTCAATCTTTGTGTAGGAAAGTTTCTAAACTTGGCGGTAGTCACATTTTGTATAGTACCCGGATGACCGAGCTTTGCTCGGTTTTTTTTTTTTTTTTTGAAATTACATTTAAAATTACATACTGATGAAACTTAAATAATATTTTTTGATCTTATTTACAGAATAGAAAAAACTGAACTGATTATTTGAATAAAAAATCATGAGTGCAATAAGTTTTATTAAAATTTTCGTATTTTTAAAAAATACTAAAAAAAGGGCTTGAAATAATAGATTTTCTCACAAAAGAAGGTAACTTGTAAAAAAAAGGAAAAAAAACCGGACCAGAGACAGGACGCGAACCACGGAACTCCGATATCACGCCCGACCGACATCCCACCTCAGCTATTACGATAAATCCTAGCTAGATCGATTTATTGCCCCCGAAACTCCCTGGACACTAAATTTTATGGAAAACGTTGGAGCCGTTTCCGATATTCCGATTTTATATATATACTGGTCTGGTCCTAGTATTTACTGACTAGATTACACTTTTTTTTAAACTATGTACTTATATTTTTGTGCACATACATACATTACATTTTCGTAAATGTTAGAGGTTTCGTTAGAGGCCAAAGTTAATACCTTTTTCTATTTATTTATTCTTTATTGTATTTTTTGAAACAAAAAAATACAAAGAGCAGACTTAATGCCTTGAGGCATTCTCTAAAATTACTCTCTCGCAAAATTGAATAAAATCAAAATAAAAATGATAATTAACTAAGTAATATACACATTTTAACAGTATATACATATTAATATATATGACCAGAGAAGGATCACGCTCTCACAGAATATCAGCATCAAATAGTAGTTTAATTCTGCTATGTTTCATATGGTGAGTGTAGAGAACCAGACACTCTTTTTACTGGAAACGAGGCATTCCAACTAAGTCCTCAAGGATGACAATGCATCTGCATTTTGATCAGGTGGACTGTGTGCTCGTTTGTCATCCTATCCTATAAAAAAACCAATATAAATGACACATGACTCATGTAAGATTATCAGATTCCTTTAATTTTGGTCTAAGAGGGTAGTTTAGGGTATTAATCGCATATTGCTCTTATGGCCCTCTTCTGAAAAGCACACCAACACTACTGCCGCATTCTATGTTGTTCTAGGTATACGACGCGCTCGACGATCATATACGTACCAGCAGGGTTAGTCTAATTAACTATATCAATTGTTGACACAAATACAAAACTGTAAAACTGAATGAGAATGACATATCTAGACATGTACACCTATTCATTTTGATAGGTTCCTGTTAGTGTTATCGTTCGACAAAGTGTTGCGGGATGATTTATTCAAAGTGCTTCACATTAGCCGGTAGAGACTGTCATCATATACAATCATCAATTTTACGTTGAACTATATTTGTTCATATTTATATATATTTAAAAAAAATAGCAGTATCTCATTAAAATTGACATTTAAAAATTTGTAGGTAAGCCCATTCTTACTGCACGTGAAAATTTGAATGTTTGTATTTGTTTCCTAGCCAAAAAGTAATTTGTCTATATCCTAGTACTATATCTGACTCGTTAGCGCAAATATTATAGTTGCATTTTAGAATATACGGCAGAACAAGGTAGAAATGCTTTATCTGTATTAGCTGGAGCTCCCTTGTTTCTGCTGCTAGGCAGAAGCGCACTAAGCCTGTTTTTCTGTCTGAATGTAAGAAACCCAATATAAATAGGCTAATGAGGCATTCCACCTTAGGTTAAGAGGTCGGAGGTGGCAATGTATTTCTTTGTCAGAAGTTGGCTACAGTAGCCTAACTCACCATCAAGTGGACTACTGGCTTGTTTGCTAACAACACTACCACAATGTATTACTCCATTAAATAATGAGGTGGTGACGCACTCACATAGTACTCGAGGCTCTTGTTGAGATCATCGTCGGTAACAAACTTGGTCTTGGAGAACTCTGGATTCATGCTGCCATCCTCAGTCACCAACAGCATGATGGCCAGCTTGCCCGTCGACTTGTAGTACACGCGCACGTAGTCATCCATCTTCTTGCCTGAAACAAATCCAACAAAAACATTTCTGTATCATTAAACAATTAACAGTGAAGTTCATTAATTTAAACATATTATGAAATAAATGATGTTTTCAATTTGTGCAGGTTACTGATGTATGCCAATATTTGTGCACACAGGACATCCTGTCAATTTAAATATTAATTTACAATGCTCTTACTTTAACTTTTCATTTAATCATCACCACAAGAAAGATTTGTCATATTTGCTATGCTTAGCAGACAAAAGGAAAATCAACCTGAGACACCAGTCTGGATATTTTATGTCCAGTGTATGCACGGGTGCTTGTACCACCATCTTTTTATTTTTTATTTATCAAAATTATTCTTACATATTTGCTTAATTTGTACCATTAAACCAATAATGGTTTGTACTGGTACTCACATTTGCGACTAACGCACTGCTTTACATAAATATTTAATTAATTTACTAAAAGTTACAAGAAAATGTATATACATATAAATATACCTACCTTCTTTATTGTGTAAGTGGTAAGTACCCATTTGCAATTCTCACATGGGACAATTCGGCGAACCGGTTCTATTAGACAGCACAAACTACTTAACTATATACAGACTGTTTCACTATTATACAAACTAAATTATAACTATGATTCTGATTGATTTTATAAGACGAAGTTCTTTATATTATCGTAATAATATTTTTTGAGTATTTGTTTATAGTTTTTTTGTGTTCAAATCTTTTTGAATATGTTTTGTGGGATGTTGTTTATAAGAGTTAGGATTAAAAATTCAATTGTTCGCCTACCATAGTAATTTGAGATCCTAGATCTACTACAAGCTGTGAGATCTTTCTGGCCTTTTCCACAAGCTTGTATACATCCCATTAAAAAATATTCCACCTATAAGAGTGGATGCAATTATTTGACAACATTTGAGATTATGATATATTCCTTAGCCTTTTTTATAAGATAGGGTGACAAACAAGCACACACCTGATGGTGAGTGGTTGCTGTGGCCCATAGACATCTACATCATCCTCAATTACAAATCAAAATGCAGATATGTTGTCACCCGTGGGGACTAAGATGGAATGCCTCGTTTCCAATAAAAAGGGTCTACCCAAAACATTAAAAATTTTTAACTTAAAAGAAATAAAAAAAATATTGCCTCATAATAGCTCCTTACATCAAAGCTTTAATGCTTCTATACACTATGTCGTAAAACCAACTTCAGTGTGTTGTTGTTTATGATCTCCAACCAAAACAAGGGTAAGGTGGTGTGTGAGCAAGTGTCTGTGGCATCACAGATGAACCGATTTTGATTAAGTTTTTTTCATTGATTAAAACTTTATGGTTATATACTATGGCTATATACTTAACGGTGTGGATTTTATGGTGTTTAATTTATTTTATTTTTAATACTCGACATTTCGGGTGCTTTCCAGCACCCATGATTACGGGGACTGAGGTGACCGACGTCCCAATGTCAGTGTTAACCCGTGGTACCTTCAGCTTTTTAATTATTGTTTTTGATCCGATCTACGCAGAATGAACTTACAGTGTCTTAAAGTATTGCAGTGGTATGCTTGGGTTTAGTTTTAATTTTATTAGTTATAGGGTCTCAACCACATGATTATCCAGCCTCTTCCCTATTGAGATTCAGACGTTTTTTAATTTCAATACTCATGTATCATCCTTGGTAGGAGTCAAAGTTCTTTCGCCAGGATTTGTGGTCTATCAAATCTGATGTAATGGTTGAGGCCATCTAGGATATGATCACAAACTGCAGAATTCCCGAAACATTGATGCTTCGAGTCAACTATATGTACTTTTATGCGGATTCCAACTATTATAATTATCTAGGTATGTTTTTGTTTGCCCCATATACAAGAGACCACAGTCACCATCAAGCTTGTACACTCCTGCAGCTTGATTAAAAAACATCCTAATTTCAATAGAGGAGGCTGGGTACTACCACCTGCTTGGGACCCTATAATTAATAAAATTAAAACTAAGCCCAAGCATACCACTGCAAGATTTCATAACACAGTAAGTTCATTCTGCATAGATTAGATCAAAAACAATAATTAAAAAGCTGAAAGTACTCCAGATTAACACTGACATCAGGACGTTGGTCACGTCAGTCCCCGTAACCATGGGTGCTGGAAATCACCCGAAACATAAAAAAAAATTAAAAGCGATAAAATCCATAAAAATAGTTTTAATCAATGTGTAGCGTTCGCATAAATAATCATTAAGTTATTTTCGTTTGAAAGGTGCCTTAATTGAGAGTGTTCTTATCTATTTTTGAATAAAATCTGTTCAGCCATTTGAAAATCATCAGCTCTTTTTGTTTCAGGGTTTTTTAATTTTGAAGTTGATTTTTTTTAGTTCATGAAAGCCAGTTTTTGCTCCTTATTAAAAGTTTTTCCTTTTATTTCAATACTTGTTATTTGCAACTAACTTACAGATGTCATCGATGACTTCAGAAATGTAGACAGCAGAGCGGTGAGCCGGCACCTTTTGTTGCATGGTGTTTCCACTCGCATCCATTCTAAAGTTGCCCACCTGCAAACATTATATAAACAGCTTAACGAGGAGAGGAGCACACTCACGTATCGGCACCGGTGTGAAGGCAGCCCACGCTGCTGGTGCACAACAAGTGCTTTGGCAACAGCAGATAGATGCTGCTATCCATTCTCTATTTAAGTTTCTGTCTGTCATTGCTTACAATACCCATGGAATAATATGGGAAGGATATATAGTAAATACAAGTCGACATGTATATTTTTTGATTAAAACTACTCTTACGGATTTTATCGCGTTTTATTTAATCAATTATACTCCCCTGGACAGAATGTTTTTCTGAACGTGATATAAAGTAAAAAATTAGTTTCGATAAGAATTACTTGTAATCTATATTGACCAAATAATTATTCTTTTAATTATTATTCTGTTCTATACATATTTTGAATTAAAATAAATATATAAGTAATAAAGATAAACATAAAACTTACATCCACTTTTTTCCACTTATCAACATTTTTGATAACTTTATTAAGTTCTTCGAAGGTCTGTCGGCAAACTGAAAATAATATTATCTTTTGATAAATGTAATTAATTCACTTTGATAAATGTAGTAATTTAAATACATAAAAATATTTATAAACCTAGGCATTTTAAATTTTGCGGGTCTATTTTCGCAGATACTAAAAAGAAACTAAGAGAAATAATCAAAATTAATAAATTTCCTTGCATTTTGGGCGTGCCAAATGCAAAGTAAGAACAAAAAAACCTTAATACTGTAATTATAAAGATAAACTGATTTGAAAATATTTGCTACGTATGTTGAAAATTTATCTTTTTCTGACAACACCACGCACCCGTTTGTGATTGGTTGGGTAAATAATACTTTTTTTTATTAATTTTTTTAGGCTTAGATGTTTGTTTTTTAAGCCATGTCTTCATTTCGTTCAATATCTTCCTTTTTTATAGAATTTTTCTTCACAATATTTGAGTATTGGTTTAATACTCAAGGTCACAATATGCTAATGCATCACATTGTGAAGTTTTTGGGAGACTTTCACGACAGCTCAACCCAGTGGACAGTCGATGACGAGAACCACTCAAGTTGATAAGGGTGCCTAAGCAATCAAAATAACTTGATGTTTATCACACACACATATATATGACAAAATCGAATCACTTGTATCGTCGTTTTCTCTAATAGTTCACATGCGCAGACCCTTAATACACAAAATCCATCACTTCTACCTTAGGCTTATGTTCAGCACTGGACTTTAATAGGCTCTAACAGATACTCACTAACTTTAACAAGTGGTAATATTAAAAAATTTGTAGAACCTACTTCAGTACGACCGAATCAATGTATTCGAAGTCAATTAAAAACGCATTATTAAGGATAACTCTAAAACTATTGGTCAGATCTTGATTTAATTTATATGGGACCACACGAAAAGTACCAGCTTTTGGATAAAAAAAGAATCATCAAAATCGGTTCACCCAGATAAAACTTATGAGGTAACACACTTAAAAAAGAACATACAGTCGAAATGAATACCTCCTCCTCGAAAGTCGGTAAAAATACCAGAGTTTGGACGGGCTGTATTTCCCCGGCTCTGGTTCGATTTCACACGCACACGCACACACACACGCACACGCACGCGCATGCGCACGCGCACTTACACGCACACGCACACGCACACGCGCACGCGCTCGCGCACGCACACGCACACGCATAATGTTTACTGTTTTCAAAATTTCGATTCCTCACTTCACTCATTCTCTAATTTATTCTGTACTGTAAATATGAATTTCTAAGTCGGTTCTTCGCTCACTAAGCTCACTCAATCACTCAGTCGGTCGCGAGTACTCGCCTCAATAATGTCTATGTCAATTTTTATGTGAGGACGCGTGAACGAGTGCGGTGGTTCAATGCTGAAAATCGAGTAATTCTTTCAATTTGCGATCACGAGTACCTCAAACGAGGCACCTCATAAGTGAGGGGCACATCTCTAATGGGTATTAATAAATAATTTTTTGTTTTTTACACTTTATGTATCATAAAATGTTATACTTCAATAAATGACTATGACATGACATGAGACATAAAAATATTTAAAAAACAAACATAGGTCTCATTTAATAAGCTATTCAAAAAAGTAATAATATCCCAGTGGAGATATTTATTCATAACGTATAATCAGTTAAACTAATGCGGGTCATTTCTAAACTTAAACAATTTATTTTTACTAAGCTTTTTTAAAGATTAAACATCTTGCTCAATATGAGCACCTTGGTTGCGGATACACGTTCTGATTCTTTTCCTAACTTCGGTTTTAGTTATTTTTTAAGATATTGTAGTTCTAATCTACCTTGCCGCATTGAAGATACGCCTTCGAAGTTCTTCAAAGAAGAGAATTCACTGGGGTCAAAAAAATATTTTTTTTTTTTTAATTAAGACCCATAGTTTTTTATTGTGAATACTTTTTGTACTTTTTATGATTTAGCTTCAAGAAAATAAAGAAACTTAAAAGAAACCATACAAAAAAATGTTTGATTTTTATTTAGAATTTAATACGAAAGACCTGTTCATTTTCGGCAATACATATGTGTGGTCAAATTTGTAGCATTTTGAAACAGAAACAGAAACTTTTTTATTCAATGTAGATTAAACAATACTTATTGAAAGTCACTTTTTTAATTTACCACTGGTTCGCAAAAAAAACCTCTATCCTGGGAAGAACCAGCAAGAAACCCAGCGGGACAATTTTTTTCCAATAATAGCTTACAATCGTGTTTACAATTAACAACACAAGACAAATTAGAAATAGCTTATAACTCCCATATCACGCCCTGCCAGGAAGTTGTTTAGTTCCCAGTTACCCTGTATAATTAATCATTGTAAAAATCTCTTTTGTAAGTTATTCACATATATATTTTCCAATCTCTAATGTCAAAAATAGTACAAAATATAATTAAAAAAATCGCCTCTATTCAGTTAAGAATATAATGAACTTTGACAATCATATTTAGGACTCGATAACACTTCCACTGTCCGATTTTCAGCAATGAACTATATGTATAATATTATGTAGTACGTACTCGGGACAGCGAATGAATTGAGTCGCTGAAATAAGTTTGTGAGGCGAAGACTTATATCTTCTACTTCATATATTCTATATGTATCTATCTAGTATACTAGTAGTCCCGCAAATCGGAGAAAAAACATTGTCACAGCGGTGCATCGTGGCTGCAGCAGGCTCGCACGCAGGCATTTTTTTAGATACGGTAAAAAACTGTAAAACAGTTGTAGATAAATAAAAAAATAAATAATGAATATTTTTTACTATTTGTTAAAAGCTATTGGTAACAACGGAATATCGTCCATGATAAGAAAACGGAAAAGAAGCAAAGCTATACGGACACTCGTGTGCAGCGATAAGGTTTAATTTAGTTTTCGCGTGTGATTTATCTCATCATCATCATCATTACTGCCCCTCACAAGTCCACTGCTGAACATAGACCTCACCCAAGGAATGCCACAAAGCACGGTCCTGAGCCACCTGCATCCATCGACTTCTGCATGTCCTACCAGGTCGTCACTCCATCTTGTGGGGGGTCGCCCTCCACTTCACCTACCGGTACGTGGCTGCCACTCGACAACCTCTTTCCCCATCGGTTTTCGGTTCTTCGAGCTATATGGCCGGCCTATTTCGACTTCAGATTACTAATCCGTTGGGCTCTGTCTGTCATTCTGGTTCTACTGCGGTTATTCTCATTTCTAAGTTTATCACGCAGAAAAACCCCGAGCATAGCCCTCTCCATAGTTCGCTGAGTGACCTTGAGCGTCCTCGTACGGCCAGCAGTAAGGGACCACGTCTCAGATCCATAAGTCATCACTGACAACACGCACTGGTTGTACAATCTAGTTTTCAGGTCTTGAGGTAGATCTGACGAGATGTGTCGTAATTTTCCGAACCAACTTAATGCTCCCAACAAATACCGGCATAGGTGTGACATGTACATTAAACATGATCTTTGTTTTGTCCATGTTCATCGTAAGAACTATCTGTTGGGAGACACTATTGAGGTCATTGAGCATAGTACTTAGGTCCTCCAGCGATTCCATAAGGACTACATCGTCGGCAAATCGAAGGTGAGTGATGTACTCGCCATTGATGTTAATACCGTATCCTTTCCAGTCCAGTAGCTTGAAAAGATCTTCCATTGCAGCGGTGAAGAGTTTCGGGGATCTAATGTCACCCTGTCTTACACCTCTCTGCAGTTGGATAGGTTTCGTACTTTGGATCTGTACTCGGATAGCCATCGTAGCCCTACTGTACAAACACTTCAGCACTTCGATATACCGACAGTCAACTTGGCACCGCTGAAGGGACTGTAGCACCGCCCAAATTTCGACGGAATCAAAGGCCTTCTCATACTACACATTCGCCAGGCAAAGTGGCAGATTGTACTCTGGTTTTCTGTATCTGCCGCAGGGTATGTATGTAGTCTATGGTACTGAAGCCTTTCAGAAACCGGCTTATTCGGGAGGCTGGTAGTCGTCGAGTCTGCGTGCGAGATGATGCGTAGTGACTTTCGAAAACAGCACGTAAACGCGTCTCAGAAGGGAAATCGGTCTGTAGTTCTTCAAGAGAGCGTTGTCGCCTTTCTTGAAGAACAAGACTACCGTACTTCTGCTCCACGCCTCCGGAGTAGTGCTACTAGATCTTAGTGTGATTTATCTAATTAATAATAATTTTGTAGGCTGTTAAGACGTCCGCAAGAAGTATCAAAGTAGTGCAACTTTATATGTAGTACCTACTATTATTTATTCGGTGCCGTAAACTAGTATTAAGTATTTAGGCTGCAGAGAACGTCTAGTCGTATACAGAGAAGTCTTTGTTGTAGGCCGAGATTAACATGCGACAAGATAAATTTTAATCTATCTAGGCGGAGTGAAACAGTATGTCAGATGCAGTGCGAGGCGGAGTGAGGCAGTATGTCACATGCAGTGCGAGGCGGAGTGAGGCAGTATGTCACATGCAGTGCGGGGTGGAGTGAGGCAGTATGTCACATGCAGTGCGAGGCGGAGTGAGCGAGTGAGGCAGTATGTCACATGCAGTGCGGGGCGGAGTGAAGCAGTATGTCACATGCAGTGCGAGGCGGAGTGAGGCAGTTTGTCATATGCAATGCGGGGCGGAGTGAAGCAGTATGTCACATGCAGTGCGAGGCGGAGTGAGGCAGTATGTCACATGCAGTGCGGGGTGGAGTGAGGCAGTATGTCACATTCAGTACGGGGCGGAGTGAGGCAGTATGTCACACGCAGTGCGAGGCGGAGTGAGGCAGTATGGCACACGCAGTGCGGGGCGCAGTGAGGCAGTATGTCACATGCAGTGCGGGGCGGAGTGAGGCAGTGTGTTACATGCAGTGCGGGGCGGAGTGAGGCAGTATGGTACACGTAGTGCGGGGCGCCAAATTTCGTGAACGCACCATGCGACAAACGTCCCGATATCATCCACACCATCTGGATACTTGGCGGTCCACCACTGTACGTTTCAAATGGAGTTTTCATCCGCGTACGACTTCTCTGTGGCATAGTCTACCACCGGCGATTTTTCCGCACCGATACGACCTGGGGACCTTAAAGAAAAGAGCTTACTCCTTTCTTAAGGGCCGGCAACGCACCTGCAATTCCCCTGGTGTTGCGGTTGATATTAGTTAGTTAGTACCAG